AACCTGTTAGAACTCAGATTCATGCGGTTTAGTTACACGAGCAGGTTTGTGATTCAGATAAGTAAAGTCAAATATGTGAATTTTCCAATACCACTGAGAATCTGAGGGGAAAAAAAGTTGGCTGTTCTGATTCTTCTGGAATAGTAACTGTTAATGCTTGAGTATAACATTCTACAGTACAAGTGTACATTGAGAAGGTAATAAAAAGAGAGAATTAATTTTATCCCCCCCCTCGGATGTAAGGCCGAAGCCACGTCACATCCAGTAGAACCTACTTAAAGGGATTAACAGATTTCACCATTTCTTTTGAGATGGTATTAAAGACTGGTAAATTGGGTGTACGAGAGATCTGTTTGCTTGTCTTATTTTCCAAAGTCCCACTTAATGGCTGTGCTTCTGAAGCGACATGGGTACCGCAGGTTGCCTTTCTAGCTACTGTGGTCATCGTTAAGGGGTTTGTGTTTTTCCCTGCTGATGAATGATGCTCTTCTGCAGCACTTCGGGCTGTTGGTAAAACCTTAATGTTATAAATTCACTTGTATCTCTGAAAAGATTTGTAGCGAAGGTTATGCAGCCACTTTCCAAACATCAGAAGTCCCAGGGCCCACGCTGGGGGTTAGGATGCAATGTAATAAACCAATCTCCAAGGTTTTAGACCTCGCCTGTAAGAGCAGCCTTTATTTTGCAGATGCAAGAGTTTTTGCAGTGCATCCAAACCAGGGACCCGCACAGCAAAATCTTCTGTGGCTGGGCCGTTGGCTCAGTCCGTTCCTGTCTGTTTGATCACCTGTATGATGTTGGTGTGGTGCCTCTTACAGTTTCTTAGACAACAGAAAAAAATTGTTTTTCCTCCCCTTAGGAGACAGAGCTCAGATGAAATCAAAAGAGCGATAAAGTTTGGAGGAGAAAAAGAAGCTGCAATTGCTTTCCTGGTCTGCAGTTTGACAGGGCATTAAGATGTCCGTGGACATGAACAGCCAGGGCTCTGACAGCAATGAAGAGGATTATGACCCGAATTGCGAGGAGGAGGAAGAGGATGAGGATCCCGGGGATATTGAGGATTATTATGATGGGGTGGCTAACGACGTGGAGCAGCAGGGAGCAGATGCCTTTGATCCAGAGGAATATCAGTTCACCTGCCTGACTTACAAGGAGTCGGAGAGCACTCTGAACGAACACATGGCCAGTTTGGCTGCCACGTTAAAGGTGAGGAAAGGTTTCTGCATTAACACAGGTCTAAAATGAGTCTGTGATTGAGAAGGCGAATGCTGAGCATACAGTTTGAAATGAAAGCTGTGGTGATATTACTGTTGTGAGGGGTTGGAGGAGCATTGTTGAAGGTCCCGGTTCAAAACTGACTTAAAGGTTTGCAGTTGTTGCATACTGGTTCTGGGGCCTGAAAAAAATCTTCATTACTGGATGTTGATTCTTACAATTATCTTGTTTTACAGAGCTGAGCTTCATGACAAAAATTCCTGAGTTGTAACTCTGTGCATTAGCACAATGCAAAGAGAATTTATAGAAAGGAAACAAACCAAATAATAAATGGTGCGGGTAGGTACACCTGTGCTTGAGATGTCGTCTGACGGATAGGAAGACATGCTGAAACTCTGTAATTCTAACAAAAACACCTTTCTTTGTTAGTTCTGAGAGTACAATCATAGACTTTCAAAAAGACTGATCAGCTGTCATGCTGGTTATTAACCCCACTGTTGCACTGACAGCAATTAAAGTACAATGAACTTGCCAGCTCTTGTAGTGCCTAATTCATCACGGAAGTCACTCTTCAAGCTCCATGGCATTATGCTCAATAAGACTTTTGTGAAGTTTTCTTTCTCTTTGAGCAACCATTTACTGTAGTGCAGACTGGTAATAGGAGCAGGCTCCCTCTCTGAGGTCTGGATGTTGACACCGGCTTGAAATTACCAATGCATCTGCTTTGTACCAGGTCTCCTGGTGCTCATTCTTCTCTGGAACAGCCCCTGAAAGCAGGACAGGTGACTGCAGGCTATAAAATCCTGTGTTGGAGAGGTTTTGATTCCTATTAATGTGGTCTGAATCAAACATAACTTAAAAAAATGAGAGGGATCTCTTCATCCTTATTTGCACATCAGAGTGTATGATAGCAGTAGTGTCACTGTAAAGCCTATAAACAATAGGATCTAAAGTGCACCCATACTTTTTGCTGCATCTCTACCTGATTTTGCCATTTCCTGTGCCTGTTCCCTGCATTCACCACCTCAGAAAACGAAGTTTTACTTTCTTGACTCTAAACTCATGACCGCAATTTCTTCCAAATGTGCAGTTCAGGCTCTGAATGCCTGCTGTTTCCTGCAGACTGTCAGAAAAGGGAGGCAAAATAAAAGAACAAATGAGAATAGTTGGTCAGCACTTTTGATCCTCCTGCCAGTTCTTGGTTCTTAGCGATTAAGTAAAGATTTAGAATGGCTTTTCTGCTCCTTACTGTTTGCCTTCAAGTGGAGCACCCTTCAAAAAGGTGACCCCTGCCATATTGTTCTCTTGAATTAAATGAACAAAAGCAATCCTTTATTTAGTCTTTAAAATCAGGCTTCCAGAGTCGAAATAAATTTTCCAAGAATTCTGAAGGTCTCACTGAGCAAATATTATAGTTGACAGGATAACACCATCCTGCTAGCTTGAATCTGGCCCCAAATATGACCCCAAAGAGAGAACATTTTTGATTCCTTTTATACCAAGAATATGCCTGTGTATTTGCTTAAAAATGAAGTGCCACACATTTTGGTTTGTGAATGAGAAGATAAGAATAAATCTGGGCAGGAACCTGAAGCACTGGGCTCTTGTAAGCCCCACACTGAGTCTTTGGCTCTTTAAGTGCCACATTAACTCTCTGGTCGCTACCAACAGTGCTGCAAGCGTTGCACTTTTCTTGGAAGTCGGCTGTATATCAGCTCTGTGTGCTTTTTGTCTCCTGGCATCCTTTCTTACAATACTTCAGCAACCCTGTTTCTTCTTTGCCTGTCTTCCACCATGGAAACTTGTGATTTTGTTCGTTTTCTGAGACATACTGGGGTGGAAGGAATTTGCTTTGAATTAACAAGCATAGGGAAGAAGGAAATTGGATAGAACGTGTTGAACTATTTGTTTTCATTATTTTCCATTGACTTAATGGACCTAAATAAACAGGGACGGACTTTGGTAAGAGCTGTGTTAACTTCTTTCTTCTGATTTGCTTGAGGTCTAAAAACGTTTTGTTCTTGTTTTGAAGTCTACCTTTCATAATGTCTTGGGTTTTTTGGATAATTTTGGTTGGTCTTTCGGAGCATACCAGTTCATTTTATTGATTTCGTCTCCTTTCCCTTGTGATGGCTAGCGGTTATGTAGTGCTTTTCAGCATCAGCTTGCATTTAAGGCAGAGTGGTTGCCCCCGACAGGAAAAGATGAAAGTAAATTAAAGACTGTCTTCAGGAGATGCAATGAAGGCAATGCCTGACACGGTGTCATCACAAGAAATGAATATTCTGTAACAATTCCCTAAAGCAAAGAAAAAAATAATGCAATAAATGGGCTCAAAGCCAGGTTTGAGTATTGTGCTGCTGTACGTTGTCGTTAGGTGATTCACTTTCTCAAGGTTCAGTTGCAGGTGGGGGGTTGTATTGATTGTGTTTTATCTCTGAGATATTGTCTGTATACTTTTAAAACCAGAAACAGGTATTCAGAACTTTATGGCCTCATACCTGCCATCTGTAGTGTTATTGGCTCATGACAATCTAAATAAATAGTGCTTCATCTGCTCTGCTCGTTAACCCTCAGTGTAACCTCACGTTGACTGGCTAACCTGAGACAGGTGTGAGCACCCTGCATATGTGTGAAAGTCTAAATGCAACATCAAAAGAGACAATCTCTTCAGCAAAACACTTGGGTTTTTATCTGCCCCAGTTAGACACAAAAATAATTTAAAATCTTAAGTCTGATAGAAGCATGAAACCCAGTACAGACAAGGCAGTAGACAGGACCAGCTGTGCTGCATGGCAGGCCTGCAACTGCAGTTGTGGTTATCCCAGAGCCATACAGAAGCTGGAGGGTTTCTCCTCATTTTGGTTTTAGGAAGAACTGTGAGTAGATCCTTGCTTTCCAAGAAAAAGAAGAGGAAATGTTTGCTCCTTGGTTAGCGCTGTTAATCTGGAGGTCTGTTTGTGAAGGGTTCAGTTAATACCCTGACTAAAATTAGGACAGGCTGTCTTTGTTGGAGCACGACAGAAGAAAATCTCCAACTGATATTATCCAAACCTGTGAAGCTCTGACCAGAAGAGCTGGGAATTGAAGCAGATCACCTTTAGTTCCTCAAAAGGTCACTGGACCCAACAGTCAACGCTTGTTAATTCAGTATTCCTGAAAGCAGAATGATCTGTATTGCCTGTAGACCAGCAAAGGTATTCACAACAGTTCTTTTGAGAAAGTAGATATAATTACAAAACCCAGTCTCTTTCAAAAATAATGAATTAAAATGATATAAGTTTGTTTTCAAGATAACTCTGTCAGTCGTCATGGAGTGGTTGTGGTCCTGCAGTGGCAGCATCAGTACATGCATACAGACAGGATGCTGCTCAGCAGTTGGACAGACCCCATCACTGGCGAGCAGTTAAAGTGTGTGGTGGTGTCACCTTGGTTTTGTTTGTGAATGACACTTCCTGGCTCTGCTGAGGGTCTGCACGAGTCAGGAATATCTGGGATGTTCCAAATAACGGGCAGAAGTGTCTCTGTTTCAGTGAGGAGATGGGTCTTTCTAGGGTTTACCATTTTTTTAAACTGCTGATAGAAACCACCAGATTGCCATTCCAGTTTATTAAAAAATATTCCCTTGACTTTAGGTCTCTTTAGAAGCTGACTGTGAGTTGTGAGGAAGGTAAGGTATTTCTGCGCATACAGGGTAACAAGGAAACACAGTCGTGTTGTTTTACAGGCAGTTGAGACTGATGCAGTCTTTCCACTAAAATCAAAGGAATTGTAAAACTGAACAACTGAAAGTTTTCAGTTTGCTGATTTGCTAATATTTACCAGACAGCAAAAAGCTTGCTTATCTTGCTCCTTGAAATAACAGCTTGTGATGGGGTTGGTTTTTTTTAGCCCTGTCCCTTGAAGAGTAAAAATTGGTAGATGCAAAAAGTGATGTTGTGACGTAGTTCTGAATCTATTAATCCACGTTATCAAAACTAATCTGTCAGAGATAAACCAGTTTTTCATATATTCTTGATCACCTTCTTGATGTCATTCCTTTTAATGCAACCAAGTCGGTATTTGCTCATCAAAACACAGCCCTGTGAAGCTGTCCCACACACTCAAATTGCGCTGACACAGAGCAGTGAGTTTGCAGAGCTGCTGGGTGAGCGCTGGCAGCGCTCCTTTTCTAATACCATCTTTAGCAGATCCAGTCATGTGCGTGGAGATTGGCAGCCCGGACCAGCAGCTCTACCCGAAGGAGTAGGAATGGCATCCCGGGGTGTATCAGGAGGGGGGTGGTTGTAGGGCAGAGAGGTTCTCCTCCCCCTCTACTCTGCCCTGGTGAGACCACATCTGGAATATTGTGTCCAGTTCTGCGGCCCCTCAGTTCAAGAAGGACAGGAACTGCTGGAGAGAGTCCAGCGTAGGGCTACAAAGATGATGAAGGGAGTGGAGCATCTCCCTTCTGAGGAGCGGCTGAGGGAGCTGGGGCTCTTTAGTTTGCAGAAGAGGAGACTGAGGGGAGACCTCATTCATGTTTATAAATATTTAAAGGGTGAGTGTCACGAGGATGGAGCCAGGCTCTTCTCAGTGACAAACAATGACAGGACGAGGGGTAACGGGCACAAACTGGAACACAGGAGGTTCCACTGAAATTGGAGAAGAAACTTCTTCTCAGTGAGGGTGACAGAGCACTGGCCCAGGCTGCCCAGAGAGGTTGTGGAGTCTCCTTCTCTGCAGACATTCAAAACCCGCCTGGACGCCTTCCTGTGTAACTTCATCTGGGTGTTCCTGCTCCGGCAGGGGGATTGGACTGGATGAGCTTTGGAGGTCCCTTCCAATCCCTAACGGTCTGGGATTCTGTGAGTCGGCGCTTACAGAATCCCTGTTCAGTGCGATCCCAAAGCGTCCCTACAGAGCCAGATGTCGGGATGCTGCCGTGTGCCTCTCTGTATCAATGTGCAAATCGCGACCGAGTACGTTCAATGGGTGGCTTATCCAAACAG